GGTGAACCTCACAAAGGTAAGATTTTACCTCTCCAAAGGGAATTTTTGAGCCTTTTAAAGATTTTCGTTTAGCTCAATAGCCCAAAATCATAGGAAAATTCTGATTATATATTCTGAAAGAGCATCAAATACTGATTCTAGCTCACTACTTCTTACTCCTTCTCATTGCATTTAAATGCATGAGAAGCAGTCAAATATTTTGTGTCAAAACTTTCCGACCACCCGTTAGATGAAATCATTGAACTGGTCATCCTTCGATGTTCTATAATTATTGAATTTGACTGATATGCCAATCGGAGGAAATTTTTATATGTATTCTCCTTTTGGAATTGTGATAGAAAGACGAAATCAGTAGTAACTTTTGAAGTATCTCGGTGAAAATGTAAAGAAGCAAACAAAACGAAAAAAATAAGTACTAATTTTGATCGAGCATGTTACTTTTCTTTGTTATTGGTGATAGAAATAAGAAAAGAGAAGTAAACGTGAATGTAATTATTACAGATCCGATTTTTTTGTATAAAAAAATGAAAGTAAATATGTTTTATTCGTAGTTACTTGCAAAATTATATCCAATTTTTCTTTATTCTTGAACAATTATGATCTACTACGGAATTCGTTTATTTCAAATACATACTTAAAAACAAATGATAAATATTGTCATTTTCTGTAGAGCATTATTTCTACTCTGAGACCATATAGCGAAAAATTTTCTTTCAGGTTTTTTTAAGAAGTTACAGTATTTTCACTACGGATTTTCTTATGTTGGAAATAGTTTTGAGGATATTTTTGATAAGATTCACACTATTGCGACACACGTCGAATCGTCCCCTGGATTTGAATCACATCGGAATGTGTGGAATCGAATGCAGATTGATAGATAGCGGCTGCTTGTTCATAGTGCTCTCGTGCTGTTTGCAAATCACGCTTATATTCATAGACAATGCCTAAATTATACAATGTCATAGCCAAGTCTGGATGTTTTGGAGGCAATATCTTTGACTTAATAGCCAGCGATTGGTTGTAATGTTTCACTGCACGATCAAATTCTCCACGACATGAACGAATAAGTCCAATGTGTTATGAGACTGAGCCAAGTAAAGATGATAGATAGGAAGATGTTTCGTCCGTATCACCAAAGCCTTCTGATGACATTTGTAAGCATTCGAATAATCGATCATTCTTTCATAGATTGCACTCATGTTACTCAAACATAAAGCAACATCGAGATGATCCTCACCCAATGTCCGTTTCCAAATTGTTTATGCCATTTTGTATTCCTTGAGTGCTTGTTGATAATCGCCTTTTTTGATGTAAACATTTCCAATACTGTTATAGATATAAGCAAGACAATAATCATCCGCTTTTAAAGATTGAGTCATGATTTCCAAAGATATCTTGTGAAATTCTAGACTTTTATCATAGTTATCTTTGTCATTGGCAACATCACCAAGTCCACGATAACATGCAGCTCTGTCTAGATGATCATCTGAGGGTTGTTCAAGCAAACGATAATAATATTTTTCTGCTTCATCCAATCGACCCGCATCTCGTAAAATATTGGCCAATGAGATAAGATTTGTTTCTTCATTACTGTATTGATTATTCATGAACTCATAGGTGATATTTCGATTGTCATCATCATCGCTGCATAGTGTCATTTGAATGATCCACATGTCATTATTACGATCAACACTAATGATTCGAAAAATTGATCCCAACATGAATAATACCTCTCCTTCTTTTGGAAAGAAGCTAAAAGGAGTGATATTGGCGAAAGGTTTAGATCCTGTATGGCAAGGATCGGCATCGATCTCAAATATTACTGATTCATAATCATCCGAACGCATGTTAAATAGTTTAATAACACCATTTCGATCAAGAGTGGTAGACAGAAATGAGTTCATCAAGACTAATTGTCCAATTTAACTTCTCAAGAATTCTATTTCATCTTTCGACATAAATTGATCACGATAGACAATGACGCGTGATGACCATTGATTTTGTTCGAGTTGCATACGTAAATCACGAATAAAAAATCGAAAAGAATAAAGTAAATCAATGTTTCTCACTCGTAGAGCTTTGTTTAAAATTCGATAGAGAAATGATTCTCTCGAATACCACCATAAGGCTTTATCGGCTAAATAATTTTGTTCGAATTCATGCAAAATTGCCAATTCGTGTTGGTTGCCTTGGTATTGTTTCCGACATATAGAAATCAACTCGTTTCTGTCTGTTGACGACGATATCATGCGAATAAGAACATTGACCATTATTTGAGAGTAAACAACATTTCCATCGATTCCAGCTGACGATTTTCCCTGAAATGCACTTGCAAATGATTCTTCAATTCTTGCATTAGTACGTTGAGTACGATTGAGTTGAATTTGAAGTATGATATCATCAATCTCATTGAACACACCTTTGACCTGGAAAAAAACATCGATTTTAAAGCGACTTCAGCTCGAATAAGATTCTACTTTTGGAAATTTCCTGGCCCATTCACTGTGGGTCTTGGTATCAAAGCAGAAGACGTAAATGGAGGAGAGTTGTTGAATTTGATGAATACGTGGGACAACTTCTCTACCTAATCTACCGCTGACAATGAGCACTGTTCGATCTCCTTCAGGTATCGATTGAATATACGATTCATATTTGGTGCTCTTTTCGAATGTTTTCACATAATTGATTGTCGACCGAATTCGCTGTTGACCATTAATATTTTCCTTGCGACTGTTTACATCAGCATCGAGCCAAATGAGTGAAAACGTCTCCAAATTATTGTCATTTGCTGTTGCCGCTTCGTTAGATGAAAAATCTTCATGAGCTTAAAAAAATGACATGTTAGCATTTCTGATAAGGGTCAAAAAAATAATTTTCTGCTGAGCGTTCACGATAGATTAATATAGATTCCATAAAACTGAATGCAAATCGAATGAGACTAAAGAGATTGGCTAGCCTACACCAAGAAGATGTACTTTATTCGAAAATAAAAGATCATCAGACATCGACTATACTGAAAAATACTCCGATCAATGTTTATGCAAAGTCCAAGACTCTTCCTAATTGAAATTTTCATAGCGCACCTCCAAGATTCTTATTTCAAAACAAAAAATTCTTACTTTCTGACGTTGTACTCCATGCTAATTTTGCTAACGATTGACTGACTCCCATCACTGCTGCACAATTGACTCTTTGCTTATCTTTCTATCTCATTCAAAATACGCAATAAAGGTTCTATTTCGCTTTAAAAACAAGCGCTGTCGAGCACAATGTTGAATCGAAGAAAAAAAGCGTATCAGTTCGGCCTATGATAAGAACAAATGGAGACTTCACACATGAATGTGTGACTGACATGAGATAAGCATAAAAAAAACAAGAATGCGTGACACAACTTCTAACTATCGAAATCATTGAGACATACCATATAAAAACATGTTTCTCTAACAAATATATTTTTTTTTGTCATCTAATCAATTGAGGAAATGAGCTCATCCTATAAGAATGTCTCAGAAGTTCTGAAGTAATTTTGAAATTCTTTATTCTTGCTCTAACAAAAACAAACTCTTTGCAAAATTGACAGATTATTGGACGGATTTACGAGAGAACCATCCGAAATGTTTAAGGAGCTTTGGCTCCGTCTTTTGGCCAAAAGTAGATCTCGATGAGGTATAAAAAAAGCTGAAAGGGGTGTGCGTGTGCGTGTAGGTGAAGGTGTGGGTGTGGGGTGTGAGTGTGGATTATGGATGTGGGTGTGAGATGTGAGTGTAAATATATATAAACAGAAGATCAACACCCACACCCTGCCATCTTAATATCAGAATAATCAAACAATTTTTATGTTCATTTTTTCCTTTCATTCAAACGAGAATATATAAGACACATGTGTTAGCAATGCGCTAGTACTTTACGTTCTCTTGTCTATCTTAGAGGTTACGTGTAATTTTAGTGCAATAGTTATTTTGTGAATGCACATAAAAAAGTGTATGTACCTTATCTCAATCCAAATCTACTATAAAAAGCATGACTCATTGATCCTTGCTATCTTACCAATTGTACAATAATGCAGTATAGTGTAGTGACAGAAACTTCGACTTATTTTTCTTTCTAAGAAGAAGAGCAATGGAGAAAGAAAGAGAAAATACACATATATTGTAACTTTGAGAATAAAAGGCACATTCTCTTTTTGTGCAAAATAATAGAATGATAATACACTCTTAAAAGCCTTTTCTTTATATAGAAAAGAAAATTTGTTTTTTCTCTCAATTTTTACATATGTGTTGTCTGTGAAGAAAGAGAAAGTTTTATTTTTAGATTTATTTGGTATACCAACTGAGATGACTGAAAATTAAAAGTTAAAGACACTTCATCATCAATATGAAATATGTGGAGCTCTAGCTGAATATTCTTATTTTGATGTTATTAGATGTCATCCATGAAAAATATTCTTTAAACGAAATGAAAATTCTAAAACGATTAGTTTAATCTTTTATTCTTATTTAATATTTATATTGATTAATTACAGTGAATAGTTATACGTTTATTGATTTTAATCGATACTTACAAAGATGAAATCGATTATCAATCGAACTAAATCAGAAATGATTAATTTAATTGCAAATTTTGTGATAACATACAGAAAAATCGATTTAAATCTAATTTTCTGACTTTCCTCTGCTTAATAGTCTGCTCATATTCGAATTATTTGTTTTAGTTTAGCACTCATATCTTTCTAAAAAATGGAAAAAATGACGGATCTCATCTTCATGTTTAATTATGAAATCTACACTGCAGAATCATTCTGGAAATGGTAGTCCTATACAAGAAAGTCTAATCAATTGAGAATATCTTCATTTTTGTTTAGACAATTTTTTAAAATACTTAAGCAAGTCAATAGGCAAAGTAATTATTAGAAAATATTAAGATTTTGAACCCTTTTTGAGTTATTTCTTCCTAGCATCTACTGTTTATTAAAAAAAGCAACATGAAACATTTAACATCGTTTTAATATAGTTGATACAACAGAAAAATAAAACATTTAATCATTGAGAATAAGAGTTTGCTCGGTCTGTTGAACAAGAGAATCAGTTTGATCTTTGTACCATTGAACTTCTTCTATTGTAAATATAATTTCATTGGCAGTAAATAAACATCTTAGAATATCAGAAAAATATTTAACAGTTTGTTCAAAGTTGTATTTATAGAGTAAATATCGCCATAGTAATTCAATATATATATCTTGAATATGTAAAATTTGTTTGATATTTGATAAATTTATTGAAGAAATATTTGTATAACCTATAAGGTTGATTGTGTAGAAAGAGACAATGGCAAGAAGCAGTTTCTTAATGATCATATCGAAATCGAGTTGAGTTGATAAACATTTAGCAATAGGTACAACAGATGAGTTAGCAATTTTTTGAATAGTATCGTAATACATGGGATAATCCATTGCTCCAACTTTATACAAAAGAAAATTCGTAGCAAGACATCCAGTATGTTTCAATGTACTTTGAAGTAAAATAGAACGATCATATACCGATAAAGAAACAAAATCTTGATTCTTTTCGTATAATAATCGAAGTCCATCTAATGCTATTCGGGTAAACTCGATCAATGATGCACTTTTCAAACGTAACTTAAGAGGTAGAGCATTTTGTTCACGCATAATACGTTCACCCATTGATAGTCCACTATATTCATCATAGCAATGTGATAAATTTGAAATAAGATTCCATTGATCGATATTTAATGTAGATTGATCTGCTTGTAAGAGATTTAAAGTAGGAAACTAAACATTAAAAAAAACCAAACAAAATATTTCTATCAAAGAAACGATCAGTAAAAGTTTAAAAAATGATACAATTCTAATATATTTAGATTTTCGCACCTTATTGAACTCGATTAAAAGAACAGCCTGAAATTCTTTGAATAGATTGAGATACGTTCTATTTTCTCTTTTTTATTTTTAAGCATTTGACGATATTAAGCATAAAAGAATTTTTGCTCTTATCATCGAAATCTATCTCCTCTGAAAATTTCAAAAGCTTTTCACAAGGTGTTCTCGAGATATTCTGAAAAGAGAAGTCCTCTTACGTATTAAATTTAAAAGTAATTATAACTTTTTCCTTTCCTAGAAGATTGTAAATGGTTGAAGAAAATAATCAATCAATTTTTATGATTTAATTCATACTGACAGCGATTATATATTTAAATACAATAATCACATAGTCTCACCTGTTTAGGCTCATTTAATCTAGTTAAAGCTCTTGATGTTATTTCCATTTGATTTGTCATAACTCTTTTTTTTTTATTTGTTTTCTTCTTGCTTGGGTAAGAAGATCGCATCCTTTCAATTTCCATTCCACATTTAAAACATTTCATAAGTCGACAATAAGAACATACATGACGATTATTGAGATTTATTTCACAATTTCCATCAAAATCACATTTCAATAGTTCTTGAAAATAAAGATGAATATTATTCAAAGCAAAGAAATTTTTCAAAAGACCTTTCCATGTTCAGCATTTCGTTTGAAAAACATTTTACATGGACCACATGACATAATACCCGAATACGAACACAAAGCTGGAACTCCACAAATTTTACATTCTCTTTTTACTATTTTTGACTGTCGTTTTTTATCCATCAAATTATTTGAAAATGATTCTTCCATGATAAAGACACGTGTTTTATTTGATTAAATCTAAAAATAAATGAGCCATATTAAATATTTTCTTTACAATATTTCTGTTATTTCTGATAAAAATATGATTTTGATGTCAGTTTTGGTATTTACTCTATGACTATGCAAGATAAACCTTAACATAGATGAAATACAAAGCAGATAAGAACAGAAGAAAAGAACAAACACACTTTTTTTCTTTCTTTCTATGAAGAAGAATGCGTATGTATCGAAACCAGAACTGCCACCTTATCTGCTTTTTGTCTGTTTTTCTTATTTTTTTCAATATTGTGCTTTTTATATTTTCATCTAATATTTTATATTCAAAAGAGTATGTTTAAAAATATAAAGATAATTCCTATCAATACTTAATGATGCCTTTGACCTATTCTTTTTTCTTTTTTATAAAGAAAATCTTTGTTTTCTATTGGCTGCAAAAAAAAGCACCAATGTATATTAATGCTTATGTCGAATCAGTATATTAACAAATGAAGCATTTAATAAATGATAGAAGATTTAGTATGACAACAGAGTTTATATGAGCTCAGTTAAAAATATGATTAAATTCTACTTTATCGTGTACTAAATTATATAAACATGTATTACGTAGTAAAGAATTATTAAAAGTCATCAAATCAAGTGAAAAATATACATTTGAAGAAAAAACATATTCAATAACTATATTTATTTGTCTAACTGTTTTTTTTTCTTGATTTTGGTCAATAAATATCAGATTTCTTTGTAAAAATCCAATGTTATAATAGTGAATCAAAACTTAAACATATTCCACTATCAAAAACGCACTATCTGCTTTTCAGAGTTTAAAAGGCGGCAGGTCTGGTCGAAACATACACACACTATGATGATGAGGTTGTAAGCACATTTTTTATTCTGCACAGAAGCAAACAACAGCAATACAACCTTAATAACAGTTTCTTTATATATAGAAGAAGACTTTTATTTTCAGTAAGTTAAGTTCAATTCAACATCAAATTTATTTAGAATGTTGACATCAAATATGGCACAAAAAAAATTGAGAGAAATAAAATTGGTGAAGAGAAGTTCATTTTCATTTCTTCAATATCAATCTAACCTTTATAAAAGATATAAGAACATTGAAATCATTTCTGATATTTAATCGTCTGTTGATTAAATTATTTCTATAAAAAAAGATTTTTCGTATATAAAATCTGATTACCTACGATGAGATCGAATCAGTGGAGTCCATCGCATCCGATATAAGAAAGTCATCGGTATTCGTCTTATCAAATAATACATATGATAAAATTTGCCAGTGGAAGAACTGTTAATACTGAACATTGAAATCTGTTGGATAACCTAAAAAGCGAACGGTTTCATTCGTCGGACTTGATCGTTTTCTACATCTAAATCCATAAAGAACTTGTCATATGTCATAAGAGAAAACAATTTTCAAGATTGTTTCTACGCATCATAAAAAGGAATTTTTAATTGAGAAACAAATTAATTTCTATTGAAATAGAAGAACATTTAAGAACTCCCCTCAGAAAACCCAATTTTTCGAAGAAAAATCGAAGTCGAGTTTTTATTATGAGAAGATGTACTGGAGTTCCCTCTTTCAGAATATATATATATGGCTTTTCGCAAAATAGATAGATTTTGACGGACTTATTAGCAGAAACTTAAGCTCTACTATCATGTTTTTCGTGGTTTTTTTCGAGTTTTTCACTTTTCGAAGGACTACCTTTCCATTTGTATCAACAGTAAACAAAGCGTTTTTTATCTTAAGATAAAGATCACATATTTATAGCTTCTTCTGAACACTGATATTATTCATAAGAGTACTCTACATTTAAAGACCATTCCGACATGCTTAATGCATATCCTCATTTTGAAAGCTTTGCCCGCTTAAAGGGTACTTTTGACCAATAAATTGATTATAATTCTTGAGTATCTTGCAGATTTGGGAAGATATTTTAACAACAATCTATTCTAGTCAAGATTAACATTCTGTGAAACTGAATGAAAAATAAAAGAGTTTGTTTGTGAGAACGGAACCCCTTAATTTATCCAAACAACGATGGGAATCATCGTATCCAGAAAATATAGTGGTATAAAAATACGTAAGTCATTCGAAAAAGAGGAGAGCAAAACTATCCATGTCAGCTCGTGCGCTTAAGTGCGGCGCACCAAGTATGACAAAACGCGAACCACTAGTGCATTTCCATAGTACATCACTGTAACGGTGCGCCTAGTCTAACTTCTTTTTGGCTCATTAATCGAGTTAATTCTATTGTAATGAATCGAAAGATTTACGCCTTAATGATCTGCAGCCTAATAATTCTAAGAAAAAATGTACTTTAACATACACACTAGTTTGATTGGATCAATTTTCTCAAAAAAAAAATTCTCTTGTTTTTTTCGATTTATTTATATGAAGTTCATTCAGGTTCATCTCGATCTTTTTTGAGAATGTCAAAAAAAGATTATGTTAAAGGTAAGACGAATTTCATATAAATAAATAGAAAGAACAAGAGAATTTTAGGAGAAAATTAATCCAATTAAATTAGTATGCATACCAAGGTGTATTTTTTTCTTAGAATCATCAGGCTACAGACTATAATTTTTTCAATACGAGCACTTTTTATGAATTGTAAGATTCGTCTGGATGGAAGAATGCTCAAATTCGATGAAAATCGATCTTTTTTTCTTCATTTACAAATCTTGCGGCTTAGATAACGTAGAATGTCGGTTAAAATAATTGATAGTAAACAAATCTAAAGAAAAAAAAATTTTTAAATTACTTTTTTTTATTTTATTGCAGCAAACTCATTCTTTCAAGGAAAGGCTCAGCTAGTTTGAACAAAAAATAATCCAAAAGAAAAAAAATAATCTGAAAAAGAAAAAAAAATTGCAAGATATGCGAATATATTTCCGAAGGCTGTGATGAAGAAAAAATAAATAGGTTACTTAGTTATCAAAAAGGTCATTGAATGACCACAAAAAAAACATATTCGAAAATAAAAAACAATCACAATCTACTACGCATAATGAATTTAAAACAATGATTATGAGAAAATAACACTTTTCTCATAGTTCATACTGATTGGTTAGATTCTGAACCACTATGGGAATTTGTCACACTTATTGCACACATCGTACATTCGTCACACTACGGTGTGCGCACCTTAGCTTAGTGCATGTGTCATACACTTTAAAAAGGTCCAATGAAATATATTGAAAATATTCCATTTTAATATGATTCTTTTTGGATTGAATTAAAACAATCCATTTCTAAAATTTCTTTAGATTTATTTCTCAAAACATAGTTTCTAGTCAGGAAAATTCAAATAACTCTCACCAGGTTCAAGCTATAACCAATATTTTTTTATTTTAAAGCTCTCAATCAGGGTAAACTTCTATCCAATTAGATTTTTTATATTTGATTCCTGTGTAGACAAAAGTGAAATTTAATGTCGTTGAACTACCATTTTTGATGCTGATTTGCAGACCATGCCACCAAAAATGTTCATAAAAAATGAATGGGATTGAATTTCAAAATTCTGTTCGGACAAAAATTGCTCACTGACATTGGCTTTAACTTGAGAACATTCCGAGCTCTCTAACACATGCCAGGACCTAGTTATATCAATTCCAAAAATTGGTCATGAATCAACTGGAACTCTGGCCTAGTACAAGTTATAGGGCTGAGATTTTATTGGAAGCGTATCTCATCAGAATCACTCATCCTTGAAAACGTCAGCTCAAATGGACTATCCCAAATGGAAAATCGTTTCTGAGGGAGCCTTAAAGATTTTCGTGTCGGAAAAACCGATATCAACTATGATCTGTCGACCCAATTAGAAATTTTCGAATTTTGTGAAATTATATAAACGCTTACGTGTAAATAATGAACTCTAAGAATTAAAAATATGGTATAGATTAATAAAAAAGTTTTTTAAATCATTCTATATTTGATCAGCACGACGTAGCTAAATGTTAGTAAGTATTATTTTCATATGACATTTTAATTTTGAAGATATGTAAACTTTTGAGATAAAATTACAGTAAATGAGCGGCTTAGACTATTTCTATCTTTCAATAAATTTAGTTATAAAGCTTAGCAAGAGTTAAGATGGACAAGTTTTCATATCTGTTCACTGAAACTTTCATTTATTGCATCGATCAATAATCTTCATGAAATTTCTACGCGACTGAAAACGATTCAAAATCACTATTAAATAATGAAATACTATCTCAATTCCATTTTGAGCAGGTTCTCTTATCTCTCAGATCGTTTTTTGATTTTCGATATGTGTAATTTTAAACCGCTCGCTGTTGATCTGACAAAAATTTCATACCTTAAACGCCTTGTGTACTTATATGTGATCGATACATGTAAGTACAAGAGGGTTCTTCTCATCATCATCGCTAGCCGACGATAGGACTAAAATTATTCTAAATCATTGAATATATCTGGCTAAAAATTTATCTATCACCATAAATAACAATGAACAAAACTTTATTTATTAATGGAACAACAACACTATCTCGCACCAAAGTATGAGAATGTTGATTGACTGAAAAATAGACAATTTTCGATAAAGAGAAACTCAAACTTTCCCTGTTTTC